CTGGAAGCTGGCAACATTTCAAAAAGGGTAAGCAGGAAGACCCTAGTAATTACAGGCCTGCCAGTCTCACTTCAGCGCCTGGTAAAACTATGGAGAAGGTTATTCTGAGAGACAATGAATGCAGTCACTGATTATAGTCAGTACAGGTTCACAAGGGGAAAGTTCTGCTTAACCAACTTAATTTCATTTCATGAAAAGGTCACCCATCTAATTGACCAAGGGAAGCCAGTAAATGTGGTGTTTGGGGATGTTACCAAGCTTTTGATACTATTCTCACAGTATCCTTCTGAATCAACTACCCAGCACACAGATAGACAAATCCATTACACGTTGGGTACATGGGGTTACATCAGTCTGGCAGCCAGTCACTACTGGGGTTTCCCAGCAGTCAATTTTACAGGCAGTGCTCTTCAATGTCTTTACAAACTATCTGGACATGGGAATCAAATGTACAATAAGTAAGTTTGTCAGTCATACTAAACTAGAAGGAGCTGTGGACTCCCGTGAGGGTAAAGAGGCCCTGCAGAGAGATCTGGGTAGACTGGAAAGCTGGGCAATCACCAACTGTATGAAATTTATCTAGACCAAGTGCTGGATTCTCCATCTGGGACACAGTAATCCTGGTTATTTATACAAATTGAGGGACAAGAGACTGGGGAGCAGCATTTTGGAAAGGGACCTGGGGGACCCTGGCAAGTTGAATATGAGCCAGCAGTGTGCACTGGCAGCCAGGAAGGCCGGCTGTGTCCTGGAGTGCAGCAGGCACAGCATCGGCAGCCCCTCGAGGGAGGTGATTGTCCTGCTCTGCTCTGTTCTGGTACGGCCTCATCTTGAGTCCTGTGAGCAGTTTTGGGCACCACAATATAAGGAGGATATAAAGCTATTGGAGCATGTCCAGAGAAGGGTGGCCTAGATGGTGAAAGGTCTCAAAGGCAAGCCTTAGGAGGAATTTGCTGAGGTCACCTTGGTTTGTTCAGCTTATGGGAGAGAAGCCTGAGGGGTAACCTCACCAGCTTCCTGAATGCAAGCTGTGGAGGGGGAGGAGCTGATCTGGTAACCAGCAAGGAGGAAATGCAATGAAGCTGCACCAGGGTAAGTTCAGATTAAACATTAGGAAAAGGTTCTTTATTGAGAAGGTGGTCGGTCACTGAAACAGGCTCCCAAAGGAACTGCTCACGGCACTGAGCCTGTCAGAGTTCAAGGAGCATCTGGATGATGCTCTTAATTGTATGGATTAGTTTTAGGTAGTCCTGTGGGGAGTGGGGATTTGGACTTAATGATCCTTATGGGTCCCTTCCAACTTGAGATATTCTGTGATTCTAAGTCTATGGAACCTGATGGGATGCATCCCTGAGAAGGGAGGGAGGGAGCTGGCCAGTGTCATTGCAAGGCAACTTGAAATGCGAAGGAGTGTTTCTGGCAGGTTTGAGGAAGATGATTCTTCCCTTCTACTCAGTGCTCGACCACAGCTGGAGTGTTTTATGCAGGTCTGGATTTCCCAGTATGAGACATGGATGTATTTGAGTGAATCCAGAGAACAGCCAGTAAAATGTTTAAGATATTGAAACATTTGAGGAGAGACTGAGAGAACCATGACTGTTTAGCCTCAAGAAAAAAAGGCTTGAGGGGTAATTTTATGAATGTATATAAATATTTGGTTGGAAGATATAAAGAAGACAAAGCTAGTCTCTTCTTAGTACTGTGAAGTGAAAGGACAAGAGGCAATGGGCACAAATTAAAATTCAGGAAATTCCACCTAAATACAACAAAACAATATTTTTACTGTGTACATGCCCAAGCACTATAACAGGTTGCCCACTGAGGTTGTGGAGTCTCCATCTTTGGAATTTTCAAAATCCAGATGGACAAGGCCCTGGACAACCTGCTTCTAGCTGACTCTGCTATGAGCAAGGGTTGGAATAGATGATAACCAGATTAACTCCATAATTAAACCCTGATTTTTGGGAAAGTCTTGCCTTTTTTTTTTTTTTTTTTTTTCCCCAGTGTAGCACAATCATACTGCACTGAGCATGAAATCAACATGTATTTCCTTTATTCTGGAAAGTGAGATGATTTCAGAGCTGGAAAAGATGGAAGACCTCCAGTTTCCTAGCTGCCGCTTAATACAATTTGCATTTTAATGTAAATTTCTGGTAAAATTTATTGTAAATCTGTAAATTTCATAAACATATGACTCCAGTTTCTGTAGCTTTTCCTCTGATCCTTGACCATAAAGAAGGAAAACCCAATTTCAGTGTTACTATGAAGTTCCCTCAGGGTGGTGCAATTTCATAGGCAATTAAAAGCTGCATTATTGTGGAAAGACAAAATAGGCCTCTAACAGCCTAAATGTAGAAGGAAATGACCCCTTGCGTCCCAGCAGTATGATGGCTTTCTAGACTGAAATAAACACACATCACCCTAAATAAACTGTGGAATATAACCTGTTTTATTTAAAGGGTGGTGGTTTTATTTTTATATTGCACTTGGCATTTCCTGACTTAAGAGCTGCAAGCTGTCTTCTGCCTACCACATGTTTCTGTTTGTAGTTCTGGCATTTGTATAACCCAGTGGTAGAAACTGTCATCCAGTTTCTAACTCACTGTACATTAAACATAGCAGTCAGAAGGATCCTAGCTCCAGACAATATGTTTTGCACCCTGGTGTTTTTCAAAATCTCCTGTTTTTAGTCCTTGAAGAAAACCAAGTGGGTTTATGCCTGGATTTTAGAGAAGACAATTTTAGACCCATATAAAAGGGTTTAATTCTTTAAAGTATTCCATTTAGCACTGTAATTTAGGCCTGTGTTAAAACGTACATTCATGCCTATGTACCTTTATTCTTGGGCTATTTTTTTCCTTTGCAGTTAGTGCCATAGTCTCCAACATCATAGTATATGAGTTTACTGCTTTTCAATCCACTTACTTCAGGAGAGAGCTATGGTAATGCATTTGATTCTGGCAATTCATGAAGAACAAACTGTGGCTGCTGAAGTTTATCAGGCTCTCTGTCTCTGCCATCATCAGCTACGAAACGGAGTGCATATGAAGGTATATGATCAGAAACTGCTGAATGAAATCACAGCAGTACAGGAGTGCAATAGAATCCATGACTTTTTGCTGTGAGAGAGAATGAAAATAGAGAGCAATAGCCTATTTCTAGCTGGCTCTGTAAGGCTGTACTCCAAGGTATTCACAGATATATGTAAAAACTGCATTAGCTGTCTAGACAAGACCTAGAAAACTTTACTGGCTGCTATTCTACTATTGCTTTGTAGGTCCCAAAAATTTCTTACAGAAACTTGAAAGTCCAAACTGCCTCATACTAGATGGTAAGAAAGAAAATTGAATTAGCTGTTGCAACAAGAACCTAAGCAATCCTCAGTTTTAAGATATATTCCCTGGGGCCTTAATACATTAATGCTACCACTAAGTCTGCAAATGCTACTTCAGCGAGCTTTTTTCCCCGTGCATGTGGCAAATACCCTGCTGTTATGAGACTTTCTATATGCTGTCTTCAGTTTCTCCACAAGCTTCTGAATTATGTCTAGTAGCTTCTGGCTGACAGTGTGTCTTCATTTCTCTGAAAGAATTTTGTAAAACTGTCCACACATTTAAAAGAAATGTAATTCCACCTTTCACCCGCTATTTTACTTACATAACAAAAGGTTAAATATATGTTAGCCTGAGTCAAGTCAGTATGTGCAGAGTATTATAGCTATTCAACATGCTGATGATTTCATGATAACTACCTGTGTGCCTATTTTAGCCCATAGTACATATAAGGCAGCTGCTGTGGTAAGCAAGTTTCAAATATTTACTTTTTTTACTGAGCATGAATGTGAGCAGTAACTGTCAAGTGGCACTTTAATGTACTGTAAATCCTCATTCAAGCTTGCCTTGTGGAAAACTGTACAAGTCTACAGTCTAAGAATCATAATAATGTGTGAAGAAATGTTTCCTATTGCAGAAGCTATCCTAGTTAAACTCACATAATCAACTCGATGTTTAATAACTGTTTTAAACGATTGCTTGTAGTGCTATGTAAGTAGATTTACTAGGCATACATGCATGCCTGTATTTGGCAGACTACCTGCAGGTTGTCTTCACATTCCCCTTTATAGCTGCAAGATTTGCATTTTTACCAATGCTCTGGTGTTGTAGCTTACTTTAAGGAGATAAACCTGAAGGATTACAGCCTGTTCAGGAAAGATGGGTTGGGAAGGCAAGTAGAAGCTCTTGTTTACTGTGAAAAGGAGTGCCTTGAGTGCATGGAGCTTTATTTGGGACAGTTATTGAATCCATGGAGAACGGGGGTAAGGACCCAAGAACAGACCACTGCAGTTGGGGTCATAGATGTCTCTGCGACCAGATCACCTGATCAAGAAGCAGGTGAAGCCTTCTTCAGACACGGCGCCCTAAGAACTATTTTGCAGTTGGGATAGTACAGTGATGAGAATTATGTTGAAGATTTTCTCTTCCTGGGGGGACTACTCAGAAAACCTGATCCCAGAACAGGTACTTTTCAAAATGCACTTTGGGCTAAGTGAAATTTTCTAATTGAATGTGAACTAATTCTGTCTCCCCATCACCACCTTCTGTAAGTAGAACTCAGACAGTCCAAGATGACAAGATGGGGAAGATCCTAGTTGGTCCATTTGGACCGGTTGCCACCTTAAGATCTCGCTGTGGATGAGCATTCCTGCGCCCTTCCAAACTCTGCTGCCCTGTGCCGTTTACGTTACCAACACCCTTACCCTGGAGAGCTGTCGCGCATATAGTCCTGACTGCAAGAGGGACCAGAGAAGACTGAGCCTCCTCAACTTCTCCTGGTTCTCTCGTCTCGCCGAGGGCGAGTCTCTCTCGCCCAAGGTGAGGTGAGACCGGCCGGGGCAACCGCGCTCTGGCTGCAGGTAGAGAGGAGGGAGGGAAAGGCCGGGACGGCCGGCCCGCCCCCGGGGCGCAGCTCGCCTCGCCCAATTATGTCACCCGTACTCAAAACAAAGTTAGGAAAGTGTTTTCAGCCTTTCCGCGGTCCCACTCCCAGCCGGGGGAGAGCCGGCCCGGCCAGCGCACCGGGCAGGTTCCTGCGGGAGGCGGCGGCAGGTGAGTCTGGGGGTGGCACTGCGGGACAGAGGAGCCGGGGCAGGAAGACGGGGAGGTTCGTGCACAGCCGGACCGCTCTCCCGGCGAAGCTGCCGCCGGGTAGGCACCCGCGGCTGCTGTTTCACCCTCCTCTGCAGAGCCCCGGTGTCCCAAGAGTGCCGAGCTCTGTCGCAAGCGGAGCTTCCTGCGGGGGGTGTCCGCAAGGGCTGGGCAGGGGCTGGGCAGGCTCAGGGTAGCCGACAGGGGAAGTGTCCTATCCCGCTGCTGCCCCCGGGAACGCAGCAGAGCTGGAGCTGCTCAGGAAGGTGGCAGGAGTGGAGGGGCGGGCATGGAGAGCCTAGGGGTCACTGGGCGCTGCCCAGGCGCTGCCCTTAACTCTCCCTCGGCTCGCTCTCAGGCTGGAAGACAGCAGGGAAGGTATCTGGATGAGCCGGGGTGGCTGCCGAACAGGCTGGTCCCCGCATCGCCTGCCGGCGCGAACGCCCGCACGGCGCCGCATCCAACTCTGCCGCGCTCCCTCCTCGGAGCAGCACCGGCACCGACGGGGGGCGAGGGCTGGCGTGGGGAGCGACAGCTGAGTGCGGAGGGTGCGAGCTGTCGTGACTCCTCCCACACAGGGAATGTTTCGTAAAGGTGGTGCCTAAAAGTGCTGTTGACTGACGGTCCTTGTGTTTGCAGTTCTGCGTGCCTTATGTAACTTGGTGCTGAGGCTGACAGTCGCTGTCACAGAGAAATCTCTTTATGGTCCGGTCACCTCAGGTGCTGCCCCGCTGGTTTTCACTTCCCGGCAGATACAGGGAAGATACTTGAGTTTGTGGCTGGTGACTGCCTTCAGGACCACCAAATACTTGAAGATGAAGGCAGTGCTGCTCCTGATGGTTGTAAAAATGATTCCTGTGCCCCCCTGCAATAGTTCGGTGTCACTCTTACACTGCTGTAGTACTTGTGTGGTACCTGATTTAGTTTTCTGTCTTTCTTGATACTGAAGGCTTATGATGACTCTAAATGACAGTTATAAAAGAAACTTGCTCCTGTCAGGATAATGGATTTCTTAATATACACCAGTAGAACAGATTATGACTGCATGTAGTGAAAAGTGGGTAGTGTCACAATTGTGAGAATGGTGAAATCCCTCTGGAAACTTTGACTGATTTAACATGCTTTTTTATTTTCTTAGTTGCAATTTACTTAGTTGCAAGGAAAATAAGACTCTTCTAGTTTCATATTGGTTTTCAGCAATAGTTTTCAAGCTAGTTTCACTTTTCTTTTTAGATTTTGTGAATTATTCTCATGCATGAGTAAAACTTTATTGGTTGGTTGTTGGATGTTCTAAGGACTCAGGTATCTGGTCCCCGAGCTTATCATTATGGACTTCAGTACTGTTCAACTCAAAAGGGAACTGTTACACCCAAAAGACTGACAATTAAATTTCAATCTTCTTTATACTAAATTGTCTTTTTACGACATCAAGAAAAGAAATCAAAAGTCAGTGTCTCAAGCACAAAGAGCAGATGTATTTCTGTGAATGGATTAAAGAGCAGATGAAATTTAGGGCCATAATAGTTTGCAGAATGCTGGTTTGCCAGCTCTTGGAAACTTGTTCACTGCTGCTGAAATGGAGGAGGAGTATTTGGTTCCCTGTGAGACACCTCTCCCCGCCCTTTTCCTCTTATCTTGTGGTGAACTAGAACTGTAAAGAAAGTAGCAGAAATGAATGCACTAAAGAGCGTTACTCTGCAAGCTTTTCTTGTGGTTTCTTTAGACCACAGGATATGTGCTGCTTCAAACAGATCTCTTGTTTCCTCTTGTTTCTGTTCATTGACAAATGATATGCTGTCATGCAGTAAAAGTATTATATGAATGTATAGTTCTAAATGTAAGGAGGGAGTAATATATCTTTAGGGTTTTATTTCTCATGTTAAAACCAGCAGATTTAATCAGTTTAAGTTTAACCTGATGAAAACCCGTAATTGATTCCGCTCTCCATGACTTATCCATGCAGAAGCGCCAGGATGTCAGTGTCAAGAAACTGACTGAAACTGAGTTTGAAGACTTTGGAGCTCTCACCAGATAAAGATCTAACCAGATCAGGCCTAGAGTTTTCAGTCTCAATCGATTTATTGTTTTATCCTAAGAGAAAACAAATAATTGATGATAAATAGTTGCCTGCATTTCTTATGTAATTGCCACTACCCTTTTCTGGCGTAGTTCTTCCCCACAGTCAGTAAGCTGAATCACCACAGGGGCAGCTTAGCAAGGTATAGGATAGCTTACTGGAAATCTTGTCCAGTTGGTCTCGTTAGTCACACTCAGATTTATTATGTATCTTGTCTCAGTCTAATTTGACTTCCTTCTAATGCTCTCCTTCTACTGTGCCTCTGTATTGTGGGTTTATTCTGTTTTGTCCCACACTACCCCTTGCTTTGATGCTTTATTTTGCCAGACAGAAACAATGACATAGCCATACCTGTTGCACTGAGGGAAGTCACCACACTGCTGAGCCGTGGCCTAGATATGTGCCCCTTGGAAGAGCCTGTGACCTCCAGAGGGCCAGGCCAAACCTGCACTACCATTGCAATAGCCCGTTTTTCCTCACTGCTCATCCTATTCCTTAGTGTCAAGAAAACTTCCATTCACTAAAGATCAGCATTAAACTAAGGCAGGGATCACACAAAATTGCAAGAGTAACTTTTTGACTAGTTGACTCACAGAGAATGAGGAAGCTGTATTTCTCCTTGAAAGCAGTGGTGAATTAAAATCCAATTCAGAATCTGTAACAATGCATTTTTAGTTGTTTGCATTGCGAGGCTTTTTTTGTAAAACTGAACAGGATGAGGTACACCAAGCCTACTAATCAAATATAGATAAGTGGATTTGTTTATATGTTTCCAAGGCCTTGGAAGCGAGCCACGCTGAACAGATAGCAGGAAGGTTATCTTGTTCTGCATATAGGAAAATATGACTCTGCTAGTTTTGTATTGTACCATTACTTCTTGCAATAGAAAAGCAGCGGACTAGCAAATTAAATATTCCTGTGCCTCCCTAGCATGCTCTTGTCCTATATAAACTCTCCCCCTGACTCAGGTAAAGGTGGTTTCCAGGACCAAGTCTGTAGTTTTAGAAATTCTGAACATTTTGAGAACAATGATTTTTGCAAACCAAGTGCCAAATAGCTAAGGAAACACTTGGAATGTGTCTCTCAGTCCTCTAGTGCAATCTGCACTAGCTTGGATCCACTAATATCAGTGGCAGAGTAGACTGAAATTTTCCACTGACATTTTTTTTCCATTAAAAATCAATTTTTATTGGAAGAGAATATTTAATTTGCATCTCAGAATCCTTTAAGTTAAACTGAAGGTGTAACATTCCTTGAAAAACTAGAAATAGGGAGTGAATTTTAGACTTCAAGACAAAATTTTGCTGTTTTTCAGGCAGATAAAAGGTTTTGATTTTTTTTCAGAAGATGCATTTTTAGCAAAGAGTTTTGGAGGAGGCAGAATATTTCAAGTTTTTCTTTTTTGTGAAAATGGTGTACATCAAAAATGTTCTTGTCAACCAGACCTTACCAGCTGAAAGTAGCTTCACTTAGCAGTGAGTCATTAGGAAAACCTGAAAGATAAGACAATTAAAAGGAATATATACTGCTTTACTGAAACTCTTTCCGTACCTTTACTTTAGGGGGAGAGGGTCTGTTTCCAAGGCTAATAATTTGTAAACAGATGGAACAGCTCGTATGAATTGGGAATATATCCTACCAGAATTTCATGTTACACCATTTAATAGTATAATTCTGTTATCAATATAGTTAATTGCATTTAATTTCAGTACTTGGAACAATGCAACGCAATAAATCATGCTGAGTCTTTAGGTCTTTTCCAACCTAAATGATTCTATGATTCTCTGCAGTCAGATAGAGTCAGCTCACTTTTGCCTTAACCATACTTCAAATGTATTGATGTACTGCATATGTTGTAAGGTGCTCCTTCTTAATGATATGTTTTACATCTCCGAACTAACATTTTATATTTTAGAAAGAAGTCAAAATAATGGTAAAATACATAGTTCTATAATAGTTCTGATACAAATTCCATAACTGTCTGTCCTGTTTGCATGCAAATGTTTATCAAAACTAATGCTGCAGCCACAGATGTTAAGCCAGAATTTTGGCCCATAACTGGCCAAACTGTATTTGTATGCAGTAATGATTTATTTGTACATTAGAGAGATAGAGACAGAATTTGTAAGGAAAACAAACACTCAGATACACATACATACTTACACCACCATCCTGTTCAGGTAATGGATAGGCCAGCAGTTTCTTTCAGACTCAAGGTTCTTGCAGGCAGCAGGCAGGAAGGAACAAGAGGGAGGGAGAAGAGTTCCTCTTGGTGTTAGTGTCCTTGACTAAGGCAGAAAGAGGCAGTGGAGGGAGAGAAGGGAACCGTGGGTCCTTGAAGCACGCAGAGACAGAGTGCTCTCACAGCTCTGATGATCCTGTGACTATTCTGCAACAGTGATTTCCATGATGACTGTTGCCCTTAAATTCAGTGTCCTTTTTTAAGTAGTTTGCATTTCCAGACAGTTCTTAGCTTTTAATTTCTTAAATACATTAAAAGGGAAGTATCTAAGCAGTGAAGCAAGAGGAAAAGATGTATTTCTGCTAAAATCATAACTATTTAAAGTAACCTTACTTCTGAAGGAGCTTAGCAGTTCCATTCACCTTGCCTTTTCACTATGGATCCCTAAGAACTGCTAAAATTTAGGCAATAAAAATCCTGCTAGTCATTTTTCATTAGTGTTTTCATATTGAAGAGCACGATGGGGAATAAATTAATCTGCCTGCTTCCTTTTCTTACCTCTGTTGCTTTTGGACATCTGAATTCTAATACGTGAATAGTTTTGCTTACTACGTCCATACGGGCCAGCAAGCAGCCAGGCAGGCAACTTTCTTCTTCATCTGTGGGGGAAACTGCCCTTTGGAAGAAGAAAATTTTCTTGCC